AAATAAAAATAACTTTTATTGTAAAAAATAAATAAACTATATCAAAATATAAACCTAATGTTTTTTATATTTTTTCTGATTTTTTTAATATTAGATAAAATATTAAAGAAAATAAATAAACGAAAAATGAGAAAAATAAAATAAAATGGGCCAGGGGTGTGAATAATCCAGGGGAGTCAGAATAAGCAAAAAAGATAGGCCCAAAAGAGTGAAGCCCAGCGCTGCAAAAAAATCAAAAAAAGTGTGAAAAAATCACAAAAGGTCATGCTCGGGCTTGAACCCGGGACCTCATAGTGACAGACGCGCGCTTTAACCACTGGGGTGGTGATACATTCGTTAACTTATGCAAAACCATAAATATATAACATAAAATGCGCCCTGATTACACTTCATCTTCAACCTCAAGCCAGACCACTTGTAACTTGTTCATTTCTCAACCATTTGCAACAAAGTAAACATGAAACTTGTGTAAAATTTTACCACGATTCCAGAAATGTAAACAACTTAAACTAATTCTAAAAAATGAACATGAATTTTGAATGGTACCAAATTCTGACCTAATTTTTTCAGGATGTTCAGATTCAAAATTCTAACTACTCAAGCAATATAAATGAAATCTAAAGACATGGTTAGCTTCAGAACAATGATGTCTACATTTTTCATTCACAAATTAAACACTAATGATGCTTGTATGAAGAGTTCAAAGTTGAGATAACTTACCTCAAAACTGGAAGTCATGTTCTACAAATGAGCACTCCTCAAGGTGTTGTGATGATCAGAATAGCTCCACTGAAGTCCCAGGAAGCTAATGCAATGGTTACTTTGAGTTGTAAATGCTTGAACTGGCCTGGAGAAGTCAAGAGGCAGACCTCTGTTTTTGGAAATAGAGGATGGTGATGGAGGTGTTACAGAACTGTAACAGGATGAGGGATGACTTCTAAATGATGTTTAGAAGCTTTGGGAACAAAGAGGCTTGAAAACGCACGAGGGAGTTATGAGTTTCAAACTTTTGGTCAGGTTATGTGAAAATGGAGGTATGAGATGAAAATCTGAGTTCTTGGTGTTTTCAGAGCTCAAGCATGCGTGTCTTTTGTGACAAATTACTTGTGTATGTATAAGCAAAATACTTGAGTGCTTGAGAGGATCAAAAGTACAAGTTCTAGACTGATTGCTATATTACTTGATTTTGAAGAAAAAGTGGGAAATATGGTTTCAAGAGGAAGTACAAGCATGTGATGGGTGATTGTAAGTGTTTAGGCAAGCTTCTCTTGAGTTATGGGACATGTATGATCAGAAGAAAACAATTTCAATACTCAAGAACAAGTTTTGTGTAAAAAGCTACTTTATCAAAATGGCATTGTGCACTTTCTTCCCAAAATGGATATAAAGCATGACCTTGCATTGAATGCTTGAATTGAGACCTCTAACAGTTATGCAAGCAATTAATTATGGAGTGCCTAACAAGTTTGAGGCCTGTAAGTAGAGATTATGCAGCATAGGTTTGAAATTTGAATCTTTTTCATCACAAAATGACTTGTATTTCAAGTGTGAAAACCCTAACTTCATCTCTTCGATTCTCCATACTAAAAAATGATCTCAAGGAGTTCTTGAACATTTTGGAAATCTTGTAATGTGCTCTACAACCCCTCTTTGAATCACTTTTGGAAATTCCCCTTGAAACTATATGAAAAAATGCCATGAAGTTAGGTCAAAATCCTGACCAAAACTAGGGCAAAATTTCACTAAGTGTCCAATTTCAAGACCATGACTTTATGAATTAATAACTTGAGATCCAAGCACTTTTAGAATAATTTGTGTAAAGAAATGTTGTAGAATCATGGATATCTACAACTTTCATGTTGAAAGTTTCTTCTGAATCCTCTTGCATCATGGTGAAAAATTGGCTTAAAGTTATGAAAAATATGAAGTTTTAAACACTTAGAAAAATTTCGAAGTTAAAAAACTTTGACTTTTCAAAATGAAATCTTGACTTTTTGATTTCTTGATGAATAAGTTTCATATTTTGACATGTTTTGATAAATTGTGATCTTTGACATTGAATTTTGACCAAAAAGTCAAAGTTTGACTTTTCAGTGTATAATTGACTTTTTGATCAGTTGACTGAAAATTCACTATCAATCTAATCGATCTTGAACAATAATTTAGGTCATGCCATTCGGTAAAAATGATGCAATTGAACTCTTTAAATCATGCTTCAAACTAATTAACCATTTTCGAGGTAAAAAATCAGAAATTGCCCTCTTTCAGTAAAAACCCTAATTTTGACCATTTTGCCCTTTTGATGATTTGATCAAATTTCTTGAGGAACTGTGGTCCAAACTTGACCAGATGATACATATGAGTTTATAATGTTGATATGGATAAAAAATTATGAAGTTTGACTGTAAATTGGTCATAGTTGACTTTTTCCCCAATGTAGCTGATTTTTAGGTCAACGGCTCAATTGACTGAGCAAAAGTGTGATCCAAGGCTTGAAACTTGACATGAGAAATCTTGGGGGTCCATAATGATCCATGAGAGTCATATGAAGCATTGAAAGTTCAAATATCCTTGTGTAATCTCAAACCCTAATTTTGGTCATCAGTACTTAAAGAGGTGTCTTGAGCTGATCAACTCTAGTGCAGTCTTGAACCAAGAGAGGTCTTTGTGAAAAAATATTTGATAAATGAGAGGGTAAATTTTGAGGTACAACAAAATTTCTCACAAAATAGACAAGGCGCTCCACTTTATCTATTTTCTAGACGAGTACCAAGCTCATCGTCTGGAAAGTGAAATGCAATGTTAAGGACAATGAAATTGATGCACATGTGCCATTTGTTTGATTCCTTCCTTACCAATACCACATTAGCCAACCAAGATGGGTATTTTGCCTTTGTTATGAAACTGACATTTGTCACCTTTTTCACTTCCTTGTTAATAGTTTCTCTTTTCTCTTTGTCAACCACATATTTCCTTTGAGACACTGGTTTCACAATCAGATCAATGGTGAGCCTATGACACTACACTCTGGTAACTATTCCTAGCATATTTGAGGGTTCTCCGATAAACAAATCAATGTTCCTTACGAGTAAGGTGACTAACTCACCTTCTTTAGATTTAGATAAAGAGGTGCCCAACTTGGTGACTTATGGTTCAAGGGCCCGATCTGGACTTCTTTCAAGTTTTCTGTTGGAATGAGAATTTTGTTTTAGATCCCTAATCTAGGGTCCCAACCTACTACATTTGGGTTACATGCGTCAAAATAAGGGGCAACACCCGGGTTGACGAACACTATCCTCATTTTCAAACTGCTCTGATAGAATTCTGGGGTGATCTCCTGATCCCCCCAAATTGAACCAACTCACCCATTAGGTAACATATATTTAAGGCTCAAATGAAGGGTGATGGGACCACCCCAAATAAGTTGATAGCATTTTTTCAAGAATGGCATTGTAGGGAGACAAATCTTCCACCAAAAGATATCTTACTTCAATTAATTTGGTGCTTGCCTCCGAATCGAACGGTTATGTGGACCTTTACATGTACTTGTTTGCTTGGAGTTCTCCTATGTTGTTTAAGTGGATTTGGAGCCTTTAGAAAGCACCCCAATAAGACATTTATTGTGCTACAATGGTCGATCAACACTCACTTCACATTTCAATCATCATACTGAACTATGATGACCACGAGGTCATTGTTGCGGGGAAGAACACCAATAATGTCTTTATTCGAGAAAGTGATTATGGATTCTCGCTATCTCCCTAGAGTTTTGGTAATGCTGGCAAGTACGACGTTTGCGGCTAAAACCCGCATGTCTTACTTTCTTCTATAGGGACTGGATTCTCCCCCACCGACGAAACCACCTTGTAACAGTGTTAACATTGATATAAGAGTTTTGCTTAAAATTCCTCGTGAGAAGATGGTGAAAGCAACAATGAGTATGACCAAAGTCAGTTTTATTGGCCCCCACAGTGGGCGCCGATTGTACTTGCTAAAAGCACAATACGTGACAATCCTTAGTGACTAAGGGGTGTTAGAGACTTTAGAGTATGTTGTAGGATCTAGAGTTAACACATGTAGGGGGTGAAAAGCTGAGTCTCTAGTATTTAAATGAATATGTGATTGCCCTTCTCAACTTCATGATTGAGATAATATTGCAATATTGTGCATGAATCTCATTCCTAAGCCTCTTGAGAATAGGAACCACTTTTGAGAGAATGTAAGAGTAAATAGTTAATCTTATATTATTTAAGAGAGCATGGTTAAATTCTCACAACTTTTTACACACTATTATAGATTAGGGACACATCATTTCCTTCATTTTCTTACATTAGGCAAAATATCCTAAAAATAGATGATGCATTTTATAAATAAACCATCAATCTACGAAACGAACTATCATAAAACTTACTGGACTAGACCATGCATTATTAGTCTTCTGGTCACCCCTCATGTCCCCCATCCTAATATATCAATACAAAATAGATAATCAAAATGTAATTGAATTTATTTTTTATGATTAAGAATTTGAAGTAAATTTTTGTTTAAAGGATAGAAATAACCTTAAATTTTATAATATTCTCTTTTGTTTTGGTTTTCACGAGACAACTCAATAAGAACATTTATAGTGCTAACATTTGTGTAAGTCACACACAACAATTACTCTTTTGTTAATAATTAATATTCCATTTCTCATTAAAATAAATCACGTAATCAATACATATGAAATTTCATTTCATTCCAACCCAATAATAAATAATAAATAATAATGATGTAGAATACAAATGTGAGTTAAAATCTAAGATGGCGTAGAAAGCCATGCGCATGATAATGAGGTGGTGAACCTCACTCTTCTTCTCTTTCCCTTTTTAACATAACAGAAAATATACACAACAAATACAAAACTTGGTCTAACCTCTTTCGACTCGAGTGGGTCCCGCAGTCGCTACACTCAATCGATCAATCAATCCGACGCCGTTTATGTTCTTCGAGTTCGAGCTATGGCGGAACCATCATCATCTTCCATCACTGTCAGTTTCAGAGATAATTTATGGAAAGGCATTTTCGCTGTTTCTGGAATCATGCTTACGCTCGTTACCTATGGCGTCTTACAGGTTTTTTCATTATTCGTTTTGCGATCTAAGGTTTATTCTTCAATCTAATTTTAACCTTAATTATCGCACAAATTCGTATTAATTATTAATTAATCGGTTAAGCATTGTATATTATTAATTTGAATGTGCTAACTGTTATTACTGTTAATTAATTAGTTTCTGTTACACACAAAAATAGTATTATTAGTGGCTAATCTTTGTTTAGCGTTTAGTATATTGTAAAACCAAGAGTAGCATTAGCAACAAAACATGATTGCTTGGTAAATTGGTAGTGATAACCATGGTTTAAGTATTCCCTAATTTCATGCTTAGTTAGCTCTATAATTTGCATGCATTATTACTAGATAGCTATGTAGCATCCACGCCTCGGAAAAAATGTGTCTGTGTAGGTGTCAGAAACCAATATAGATACTTGTGATTACGTTTAATTTATTCATTTTTTCAAATTACTACTGGTGTCGACGTGTTAGTGTTGGTGTCGTGTTTCCCGTGACTGTTTCATAGCTAGATAGTTTTATTTTTAGAATTTGGGGTGGGCACCTAAGGATGTGTTTGGTTGGAGGGAGAATGGATTATCGACTTGTTAGGCGATGAATGCCTCTACTTGTAAGTATCTTGTCACGTCGTATTTTATCTAATGTGAGAGACTCTTGCCAGTTAATAGGCCGATACAAATTACTTTAGAGTATGTTTCGATTTAGGGTTTTGGAGGATTAAGTATACATTTTTTTTATATGTTTGAGATTTTTTTAAAAATTGAAAGAATAACATTTTAGTGTGTGTTTGGTGGGGCATTGGATTTAACGCGGTTTTGATTTTTGAGAAGCTACTACATGTAGCTTTTGCGTGGAAAGTGAAAAATTATTACCAAAATGCCGTTGCAGATGCGCGTTTAACATGAAAAAATACCATACCAAACATATACTTAGTCGCACTTATTTCATTTTTATAAACATTTTATAGCTTTCTTTAGAAAAGAACACAAGGTTTGTTTAGTGAGTTATAGATATTTGTTTTTGCAGGAAAAGATCATGAGAATACCATATGGAGTAGAAAAGGAGTATTTCAAGTATTCACTCTTTCTTGTTTTCTGCAACCGGATTATGACGTCTGCTGTTTCTGCTGGTTCTTTGCTGGCAAGTATATACATTATATGCATGCTAAAATACTCACATATTTAAATGTAGTTCACACATTTGGCAGTATTTGAATTGGGACACATCTTTGTTGTGGTTCCATTTAATCATAATTTTCAACATTTGTTATAGGCAAGTAAAAAAGCATTAGATCCAGTGGCTCCCATTTACAAGTATTCCCTTGTATCAGTATCAAACATACTAACCACAACTTGTCAGTATGAGGTATGAGACATAGTTTTGCATGCCTGTTAATTTATAAGAAATTGGTAAAATATTAATGGATATAACTTGCCTCCCATATATACTGAAATGATAATTTTTCTTACTCCAGGCCCTCAAATATGTTAGTTTTCCTGTTCAGACTCTTGCGAAGTGTGCGAAAATGATACCAGTTATGGTAGGTCAAACTTTCATGCTGCTCCCAGTTATGTAAATTTTGTTTATGTTGATGACTGAGTAATTTCAATATACATTACCCCTTCTCTTTTATTTATCTTGTTGCATTGATCTGTAGCTTATTTTTCACCTTCCCGGTCACCCCTGCTTCTGTTGACGAAGATTAATAATAATTGTTTCTGTTGTTAATGAAAAACGAATGTTCATGCTGTCTTTGTATGCATGTGCGTCCTCAATGTTGTGTAATTTCTGTTATTATTGTGCCCTTTATTTACTAAATATACGGGGAAAGGGAAAATCCGTGAAGGCTAAAAAGTGTTAAGTATATACTAGAATGATTATTTTTTACATCAGTCACAATGCAATCATTCAATGATCTCAAAAAATTGTTTGAATATAGTTATTGAATTGGTGTCGAATACTTGGCCTGATTCTCCCTCTCTCACCATCTTTATTTCACAGATTAAACGAGGGAGGGAGGAATATTTCTAAGCATTGAATATTCACATAATATAAATTCACCATGACATGAAAGAATCATGTATGCTCTAGATTATAGACTGTGATGTTAAATACAATACATAAAACTGATTGATTAATTTTTTTTCAAAGTTGATGCAGTCTAACCATGAAAAAGAGAATTCGGTGAGGCAGAGAGTTGTGGGGTGGGGGTTGTAAAGATCTGTAAGAGATTACTGAACTTGTTTCAAGAATTTTAGAGGATATTTTACTTGTTGGACAAGTTGTTTATTAATGTAAAAGGATATTTTTTGTACAGATCCTAGTATAACTTATATTTTTGGTTTGAACATTTATCCAAGGACTTCCCGTATTTTCTTCTGAATTCTACAGTAGCAGAGTTTTTTCATGACTTCCCGTATTTTCTTCTGAATTCTACAGTAGCAGAGTTTTTTCATAATGGAGTCGGTCTAGGTCTTAATTTGTCATTTTTACATCATATGTAAAATTCCATGAATCGTGTTCCATGTTTTGGTAAAGATTGACCTATATATACCTTTAAAATCTGTATTCTTTCTTTTGTATCTTATGCAGGTCTGGGGTACAATTATCATGCAGAAGAGGTACAAGGGACCTGACTATTTGTTAGCTTTTTTAGTTACCCTTGGCTGCTCAGTATTTATCTTATATCCGGTAATTGTTTGACCTTTGATCCTAATAATTTTCTGTTGCTTCATTATCATTCTGTCTATATGTGCCTATGTGATCATTTTCTATCAAAGAACCATATTAAATATGTTGCACGTGGGTCGTACTGTTATTTCTTTTGGCACTAGAGGGCTTTTATTAAGACATGTCAGGAATGTTGCAAGGACTGAGGATATTACTATCCTGAATCAGTATTAAAACACTCCTAAGAAGGCTTTATACACTATTTTTGTCCCAAAGAGCTGGAAGTTTAGAAATATTAACTAACCCATGAGCAAATAATGCACGGCTCTCTGTCCTACACAAAATTTACCCTATGTCTTCCTTTGGTATGTGGCTGAGGTAGCAAAGGTTAATATTTAAAAGGAAAATATTTTCATATCAAGTGTTTAGTAGTTTAATATCAGAAACAAGAAAAGTTTTAACTCTCCCTCTCACTCGTGATAGCAAGAGGGCCAGCACTAGCGGCTGAAGGACTGGCACCATTGATGTTATAATAGCACTACCACAATAGTGGAGTGACTCAGGCAACAAAAGGGGATTTCAATCATTGGTCTATTCTTGCCGAAAGGGATTTGGATTCCTGATCCCAATAAAGAAGACCCACTATGGTCGATGATCAGTTATAATAAAAGTAGCCATCAACAGGTAATGCATTGCATAGTGTTGACCCCCTATGTTGAAATCTAACAAAACAAGTATCGTTGCGAAAATGCAAAAATGCAACTATGGAAGGCTTCCATGGATAATGGCTGTTCACACTGTTAATATTTCAAGCACTTTTCACTTCCTAAATTCAATTTCTGTTGGGGCGTTTGGTAGCTCAACTAGTTTGAGCTAAGGGTTAAAAGAGTTAAAAAAGTTAAATGACTGGGGTTCAAACTCTTGGTGAAGGAGAAAATACCAACATAACAACTACTGATATACTAACATTTGCATATCCAAAAATCAACCTTGGTTTACTACACATAAATTTGGACCAGAGGGAGAGAGGACAATTTCTTGGTACTACTCACAAACACCCATTAGAAAAAAATTGTTTCTGAATATAAACCTTCTTTCAAATTATTATATGTGAAATTTGCAATGGGAGCTTATAATTAGGGATGGAGGAAGTATTACTTTCTTACTATCAAGTCTTGATTAATTATATAGTCACTGATGCATAATCACCTAATAAGCTGGCAACATTCTTCAATAAGCTAAAGAAATTATTGTGCTTTTACTGTAGGCAGGAACAGACCTAAGTCCATACAGCCGAGGAAGGGAAAATACAGTTTGGGGCGTTCTTCTAATGGGTGGCTATCTTGGGTATCACTACCAAACTTAAAATCTCTTCCTATGATTAGTGATTTTATGTATTATTATATATTGTATGGGAAAAAAGTCTAAAAATTAATGCTACTTTCATTCGTTGTGGACCCTGAAGATATTTTATTTGTCTAATTATTTTCGATGCTGGGAAAAAATAATGGAAGTACATTGTCGCCATAAAACTTTGAATAAGTTCCTGTGTATAATTTGTACTTCTCCCTCTTAAAAAGTGTAATGTTATTATGGGAAAATATAGTCACTGTGAACCAATTTTGTTGATTTGACCAGTACAGGTCATTTGAAGCTGCATTATATAAGTAAAAAAACTTAAAACCGCCTTTTGTGGTAATCTGCATTTTGAACTTTCTTCCAGGCTCTTGAATGCATGCTTATTTCAACTTATTTAAGAACTTATATGGTTCATAAACAAGTCCTCTATTGTATCATCCTTTTTCTTTTGCGTTATAGGTTTGATGGCTTTACAAGCACATTCCAAGATAAGATGTTTAGAGGCTATGACATGGAGATTCATAATCAGATATTTTATACAACATTGTGTTCTTGTATTCTTAGTCTGACAGGTTGGTTTAAGAAGTTCTGTGAATTTTTGTATTGAACATTATATTTTGTCAAATTGTCATACCCAAATTCTAACATAGTATAAGAGTCTATCAAAGATTAGATTTGTTAGACCACATGCAATTAGGTTACCGCTATCAAGCCTCTCGATTCATGTTCCGGATGTCCAATCCAAGGAGTGAGGGTGTGTGTGTTAAGGATGTGTTTTTGAGTTGATTTTTGGAGGATTTTGGAGGTGAGGACTAAGTCTATATTTTGTTATATATTGGATACTTTTTAAAATTAAAAGAACAACATGATATTGTATGCGCTTGTATCATGTTCTTTCAATTTATTTAAAATATAAAAAATATTTTAAAATAGAAACTTATCCCAACCCTCCAAAGTTTTTCCTCCAAAACCCTTGAAAATCCAACTGCAAACACACCCTATGGAGCAACCCTTATCTTACATGCCGGTTTTTTAAGATGTTAATGTGAAAAATAGATCTTGATAAACAATGAACTCCTCTGAAATAGAATTTACACCCAAACTAAAAGAAAATCAAACTGTTACTAAATTGGAGCAAGCTCCTCAAAAGATGGGTAGAAATGAAAGAAAACTATCCTGGACTGAGAGCTAACCTCACTCCCCAGTAACCACCACTGACCAATTTCCTCAATTCCAAGATGCCCTCTACAAATTTGTTGCGCCCTCTAATAAACTCCCTTTGATTCCCACCCAAGTCCTGCCCACTCCCTTTATCCCACCAGTCTCATTCAGTTATATTGCCACCCATTTCTAGTGAGTATTTTCAATATGTTGCATCCTATCCTCCTAACGTTTTTTAGTCTAACAATATCTTTCTCGGTAATGTAATGATTCATTTGCTGGAGTTGTACTTGAGGGCAAAATACAGTATATATAACTTGCAACTGAAGACTAGAAGTTATTAAATACAATACTGTTTGACCCTGGGAATCTTTGCAGTGTTGTTTCTTTTATTATTTTAGCCTTTTTTTCTCTTTTTCTACATGCATGCAGTTCACGAAATAATACTCCCCCAATCCCAACTGCTAAACAGCTACTAATTGATACTCCCTCCGTCTCATAATAAGTGTCTTATTTACATTTTTTATATGTCTCAAAATAAATGTTTCTTTAAAATACCAATACAACATTTATTTTTATTTTTCTACTACTATAATAAATAAAGGTGTTTTAGTAAATGATACTAATTTTATCATTAAAATCAACACATCTAATTATTTTCTTAAAAACCGCGCAGAGTTCAAATGAGGCACTTATTATAAGACAGAGGGAGTAACTATCTTGACAATCAATATTCTTAGTTGTATAAACTATATAGACTTATTCAAATAGTAATTTTTTTCTTTCTGAAATGTGGGTTCGTATGTATTTTGGTTCAACTTTGTTTCTCTTGAAGCTTCTAAGGCTAGAAATCCACTCTTTTGATATTTGATATTTTTTTGTAGGTCTTATTGTACAAGGACAAATGACACTATCAGTAGAGTTTGTATATCGGCATCATGATTGTTTCTTTGACATAGCATTACTTTCGACTGTAAGTAAGCGGCATCTGTTTTAATTTTCTATTGCTTAAGCATTGCCGTTTTCTGCTTGTTATAAGATTTTATTTTTTCAAAACCTATAGCAATATCCCAAAATAAAATAATTTTCTTCTTCTTTGGCTTCAAAAGCAAAAACAATAAGATTTCCCCTTTTTACCATTTATTTAGTTGAAGTTTGTTTTATTATTGGGTTACACAGGTTGCAACAATTAGCCAATTCTTCATTTCGTACACAATTCGCACTTTTGGTGCTCTGACATTCGCTACCATAATGACCACAAGACAGGTAACTTGCAGAGAAATGTAACTATCATTTTCCCTATAATTGTGTAGTATTTCAATGTTCGTAATTTTTTATTCAAATTGTTGCAGTTGGTGAGCATTATGCTGTCGTGTGTGTGGTTTTCCCATCCTCTTAGCTGGGAGCAGTGGATCGGAGCAGTAAGACTTTTACCTTTTCTGACCATTATAATGAATTGAGTTATGTTGCACTTGCACTCTAAGCTATTTCTTTATCCCTTAAAATCAAACCCTGTCTATTGATCAAAGCTTACACTTGAACGTGTGATCCAATGATTCCAACCATTTTGTTGACGAATTTAATGGTAAGCATTGTAACGTCATTACATTGTCAGGTCATTGTCTTCGGCTCCCTATATGGAAAAAGTTTCTGGAAGAAAGCACCTCAGAAGACAACATCCCCAACATCCACATCCACATCCACAGTAGAGCTTGTTCAAAATGAGGAATCGAATAATTTGAAGGACAACCCGTGACTGGGATAGAGGTAAAAGCATACTGACCTTACACCTGACAATATCTGAAGGAATTCAATTTCAAGTTCAAGAGATGCACATTCAGTATTACAGAGGTGTTTTGACTTAGATTCAGACAGCACCAAGTGCAGCTAGATTCCTGGATTTTGACTATAGAGAACTTGAAAAGGATGTTAACCCTACAATTTTCCACAGTGGAGATAAATTATGGACCTTACTAAAGCCAAAAGATGTTTAATAATTGAGATATGTATAATGCTTTGCTCAAGCGAAGTTATTTTCGTTCAGTTTTTCAAATATATTGGAGAGAAAGATGGGAGGTTTGTGGTAAGTTTTGGGTCAATTATTTACTTAATTTAATATCATTTATTGGCAATTTATTTTTATGATAGCATAATTTATAAACTAAGTGTGCAAAAATATAACTTGCATATATTGTCGCAAGAATTTAATTGATATACATCGATAATATAAAGAAAAATTATATTGTCAGTCAACTACTGTTAAATTTTAATTAGATTTTAATTGAAATTGAACTTTAATTTTAATCATAATTATAAAATAATAGCTAGGAATGATTGTGTAAAAAAATTTACACTAATAGTACATATCGCGATTGCATTAGGGGACAAAATTGAGTATCTTGTAAGATTTTTATTTGAAGGTAATTTTACACAGCAAGCTTTCAGTTTTACTTTAAGAGATAATGAATTTCTTAATTGACGGAAGTATACTTTTGGTGTGTATCTAGATTTGAATTGCATCATAATTTCATAATATAATTCAATCTATAAAATCAGAATTATACTTTCAATTATATATGAAATATCAAGGTGGCAATAAAATTCACTTTTTCCACTAATAGAATTAGAAATAAAATTTCAATTTAGAATCAGAAGTATACGTCTAATATTATTTTTAGATTTTAAAGGGCCAAATCACATTTAATTTATTTTATGTAAAATATGATACAAACCAAAAAAGCATTTATGATTTTCAGAAGTACAAACCGACCATTTCAAAATTGTATAGAATGTCTTTTTTTTCAATAAGATGGAATAAGAAGTTCTCAATATTTAAACTTCTCGTACCTTTTACGTCTCTTAAAGTAAAACTGAAAGCTTGCTATGCAAAATTATCTTCAAATAAAAATCTTACAAGATACTCAATTTTGTCCTGCAAGCGATAACGTACCTTCTTTTTAAAAATAAATATTGTTTAATGTTTTTTTACATAAAATTAAAAGAATTGATGATGAAATAATTTTAGAGAAAATATCTAACGTAAAATAATTTTAAAATAACATAAACGTGTATTCGGTCAAATTATATTTTAATTTTAAAATAATTTTGATGAGTTAGTTTTTCAATGGATAATAGTGCACAGTATCAATGCATATTAATTAAATCCATAAATTTAAAAATATAGTACGTATTAATGATTGAATTTTAGCTTGGTGAAATTGAAGTAAAACAACTATATTATGCTAGAAAGAGATAAAATGGCATTAAGTTAAGTCAATTGATTTTGGGATAGAGAGTACTAATTTTTTTTAGTAAAGGCAGATAATTAATCCTATATTTTAAACACTATTTTACTATTTTTTAGTCAAATTACTCTATTCTATAACTTTAAAATGCAGTAGTGTTCTATTGAAAGAGAATGCTGTTGTCTATATATTATGGTTCTCTTCAATAAACAAAATATCGTTGATAAATATTAAAAGATTATTTATACATAAATAATGTCTTAAAAAATAAGAAAGAGTTTATATTTTTCTATTTTTCTTCTCATCTCCTTCCTCAATCATCTCCATCGACCGACAAGGACTTATAACTTAGTCTTCAACAACTTCAAATAAATCAATTTTTAAGAAATAGGTGAAACTTAAACACTTTTGTAAACTTATTTAGCTAGAAATGTTTGACCAATAGCCATAAAAAAATTAAGGTTATCAAAATTGAGTTTTTACCTAACTCATTTTATTTAAACAAAATTAAATTATAAAATTGAAACATAGAATTTATCTCATATATATATATATATATATATATATATATATATATATATATATATATATATATATATATATATATATATTTTAAAATTTTAATTTAATTATACAATAAATATACTGAATGACTATAATAAAGTAAAATATTTATAACCATATATCAAACTATACAAATTATCTATCAAATCATTACAAAAAAATATTTAAGAAATTATCCAAACAAACAAGAGTTACATAAATTTCTCAAATTTAAAAAGACAAGTTTCTCAAGGTAAAATTAAGTCAAAGATAAAAATTCAACAATTTTATGTGATTTTATCGATTTCAGAATAATTTAAATTATTTAAAATCATCAAAGGATGTGATTTTACATAAAAACGTTTTTAATTACGATTTAACATAAAATACTGATCTAAAAGTGTAAAATCTATATGATTTAGATTTTAAATTGCGATTTTAACAATCTTGAAAAAACATTTTTAATTTATTAAGATATTTTATTATTTGATCTCACCTGATCAGACTTGGACCGTCACGACTGGCTCGGGCAGAATTTGAGGGAGATGGAGGGGGGAGGGTACCTGCAAGACACTCCGATGCTAAAATGAGTGACAGAATGAGCAGGCAAAAAGTGTATGTATGTGTAAGAGATGAATACCTGACCCTCTAGGAACAGAGGGTATTTATAGCCCCCAGCGCTGGGCCAAGATCTCCTTATTGGGCCGACCAGAACTGGCTCAATAAAGGAACTGTCAGGTTCTACGTGTGTAGTGGGGACCCACACGTGGTCCCCTTCCTGGTGATGCTCTGCGAGAAATGAGGAGGGACGAAGACGCGGTCTTTCCGGAGTTTACATGATTCGATAACGGTCAAAGAGGACATAATCTGCCCTACGAGGAGAGTGCTCGAGCAAAGCTCGAGCTAGAGTTCTCTTGGTCGGGGATACCATGTGTCGCGGGCAACGGCGGGCATGGCTGCAGTCCGTGGTCGGGCACGCTGGCGGGAATCCGCGGGCGCGCATTCCTCGAGGAGTTGCTTGGATTGGGCCTTTGTCCCTGCTTTTGGGTCAGGGCGGGCCCAGTCCAGAACAGGAGCCCCCCAAGTCGTGGCTCCTGGAGCAGGAGTTATGACTTGACTTCAGCTCGCCTTTACCACGGGGTCTGATGCCCGGCCCAGGATATTGCTTCCTCGTGCTTGCTCGAGGAGTTTCTCACGAGTTGCGTTCGTAGCGTAATCCTCGTCGATGCGTGCTCGGGGGATTCCTCGCGAGCTGCGTTTGTTGGGCACACGAGGCAATCCTTGGGAACCGTGACGCCACCCTAGCGACAGTAGGGCCATCATTGCCTAGGGGAGTAGACGTCGAGGAGGGGAAGTTCGTGGCTCCCCGGGGCGACGTTTCGTATTCCACGTCATCCCTATAAATAGGATCCTTGGGTCCCATAATTTGTTTTTCCTCTTCGCGCTTCTCCTTCTTCCTCTGCCTTTGCCGCCGTTGTTCTTCTACAACTTCGCAAGATTACCGCATCTTCCTCCGTTGATTTCTTTCACCGCTGCTGTACATTCTTCTTTGCTTCCAAGTAAGCGTGTATCCCTCATATTTTTCTTCGTTGTAGGTAGTTTTACCGTTATTTGGATGTTAGAAACTCATATCTAGGATTAGTGCCCGGTATATTCATGTTTGTGCCCGGTAAACTCATAGTTTTAGGAATGTGACTCACAATGCTGCCCGGGACCTTCATGGTTTTAGGCGCATAATCTATGATACTGCCCGGTAAACCCATAGTTCTAGGCTTAGGATTCATGATATTGCTCGTCACATTCATAGTTTAGGTCGGCGCACCCATGAGCTGGCCGGGACGTTGACCCCTTAGGAAGTATGTGGGACAACTCGTCGTGGCATCTTAGCGTCGGGGAGGCGAAACCAGGATCTTGTTCGAGTCCTCAATGTTTATCGCGCGGGGTGTTCATGTTATCCTCGAGCGTGTCTGGCTTGTCGTGCACTACTTCCCGTCGATGTGGCGAGCATGTGGATTTGCTCTCGAATTTCACTGGTTTCCTGTGCTTTGCAGGTAAATGGATGACGAACCGGAGTCTTCGAGGCGTAATGAGGTCGAGGACCAAAGTGTCGAAGACAACGTGACTCTAGTTGATATCGTCGATGATCCTTCGTTGGATTGGGTGGGCGCCGAGCTCTAAGGTATTGCCTCGGCATATTGTCGGCATAGTCGGCACGCATATACTGCCGTCGAACGCGGCGGTAGTCAGCCGGGTTTCCAGAAGAATTTTACTGTGACGAGGTTGTCCCTCGATGCATGAATCTGCTCGGAGTTCACCGGATGGGTTTCCAATGTACGAGATCGTGTTTAGGGATCTCGGTCTCACGCTTTCTTTCAGTGATTTCCAAGCCGGGGTGTTCTTCCATCTGAACTTGGCCTCTTCCCAACTCCATCCTAATTCAATTGCTTTCCTTCGGGAATTCGAGCTGACATGCCGCTTTTTGAGGATCGGGGCGACCATCCCCCTTTTCTTCAGAGTTTTTCACCTGCAGCGTCAGTCTCGAGGAGGCAGGCATAGTTGGGTTTCCCTGAAACAGTCGAAGAGGCTGTTCAGGATGTACATGGATTCAGTCCGGGGCTTCAAGGACAAGTGGTACGTTCTGCAGCCGGTCACCCAGACTGCTTTGGGTTCTATGTATGAAGAGGAAACCACGGTAGTCGACGAGCACGGGGAGCCCCTCATGGATGCCGAAGGCCGGCCGGCGGTGGGGCGCATATCCAAGTTTCCGTTACATTGGTGCTCGGGCCATTACGACCATGGTACCGGGTACTACCACACGCCCACGGGAAGTATGTGTGCCGAGGATGAAGAAGCCTATGGCATCCTTTGCAAATATGTCGACAGTTTTTTCCCTGCCCGATGGGTCACGAGGGATGGGGAAGACATTCTTGACGAGGACGGGTACCCGATGTTCGAGGCCCGTCCCATC